AGTGGCACGATCTTGGCTCACTGCAACCTCTGACTCTTAGGTTCAAGCAATTCTCCTGCCTCAACCTCTTGAGTAGCTGGGACTACAGGCATGTTCCATCACACCTAGCTAATTTTTTTTTTTCCAAGACGGAGTCTTGCTCTGTCACCCAGAGTGGAATGCAGTGGTGCGATCTCAGTTCACTGCAACCTCTACCCCACCAGGTTCAAGTGATTCTCCTGTCTCAGTTTCCTGAGCAGCTGGGAGTACAGGCATGCACCACCATGCCCAGCTAATTTTTGTATTTTCAGTAGAGACAGTGTTTCACTATGTTGGCCAGGCTGGTCTTGAACTCCTGACCTCATGATCCACCTGCCTCGGCCTCCCAAAGTGCGGGATTATAGGCATGAGCCACTGCACCCAGCCAGGAAATACATTTACATGGCTCAAATTCAAAATTTTAAAGAGTCAGGCAAACATGGTCACTCACGTTTGTAATCCTAACACTTTGGGAGGTGGAGGCAGGTGGATTGCTTGCACTCAGGAGTTTGAGACCAGCCTAGGCAACATAGTGAGACCCCGTCTCTACAAAAAATACAAAAATTAACCAGGCATCATAGTGCACACCTGTAGTCCCAGCTATTTGGGAGGCTGAGGTGGGAGAATCACCTGAACCCTGAGGTCAAGGCTGCAAGTGAGCTGTGATAGTAAGATTCTCCTCCTAACCTTAAGCATCCTTCCAGAGAAAGACAGAGTATACATATTCAAACAAATATATAATATAACATATATATTTTTAATATACATATATATATATATATATATATATTTTTTTTTTTTTTTTTTGAAATGGAGTCTTGCTCTGTCGCCAGGCTGGAGTACAGTGGTGACATCTCGGCTCACTGCAACCTCAGCCTCCTGGGTTCAAGTGATTCTCCTGCCTCAGCCTCCCAAGTAGCTGGGACTACAGGCACATGCCACCATGCCCTGCTAATTTTTGTATTTTTAGTAGAAACAGGGTTTCACCACATTGGCCAGGATAGTCTCAATCTCTTGACCTCGTGATCCGCCCACCTCGGCCTCCCAAAGTGCTGGGATTACAGGCATGAGCCACCGCACCCGGCTATATATTCTTTTTAAACACAAAAGCACAGCCAGGTGTGGTGGCTCACTCCTAGGGTCCCAGCTACTAGGAAGCCGAGATGAGAGGTTCACTTGAGGCCATGAGTGTGAGACCAGCCTGTGCAACATAACGGGGCCCCACCTCTTGGGGAAGAAAATTTTAAAGAAAACATAAAAGCATTCTATAACACATAATTCAGTGTTTGGCTTTCTTCTCTTAATACATCTCGGAGATCAGTACACATCAGTATATAGAGAGCTTTCTTGTCCTTTTTCAGAGCTGTGTAGTATTCTGCTGTATGGCTATACCATGATGTTTTAACTAGCTTTCTACTGCCTGACATTTGGGATATTTCCTGCTTTTGCTATTGGACGCCAGGCTCTGATAAACAGCCTTTACCATATTTAAATTTTTGTGAGACATTTAACTGGAGGATAAACTCCTAGAAGTGGGACACCCAGCTAAGGATATGTGAATTTGTCATTTTAACACACACTGCCACATCGCCCCCTATAAATGTTGTGGCCCGTACCCTCCCACCAGCAGGGGAAAGAAGGGGCCACCAAGCAGCCTCACTTTAGTGCCTTTCTCCCTTTTTGCTAGATGCGAGTCACTCCTCTGGCTGCTCCTGCGGGTTCCCTATCCAGGAAGAAGCGGTTGGAGTTGGAGGACAACTTAGACGCCGAGTGTCCTGTCCAGAAACGAGCTCGAAGCAGGCCCCAGCCCAGGCTGCCCTCCTGCCTGTTGCCCCTGAGCCCACCCCCTGCTCCAGATCATGCAACTGCTATGGCCACTGCCTCCCGTCTTGGGCCCTATGTTCTCCTGGAGCCCAAGGAGGGCGGGCGGGCCTACCAGGCCTTGCACTGCCCTACAAGCACTGAGTATACCTGCAAGGTACGTGTCCACAGGCCACTGTCCCCCAGCATCACAGGAGGCCTGGAAGGGAAACCTCCAAAGGATTGCCAGGGGGCAGAGTGGTTCTTATGCTCATTCATTCTTGTGTTTAGTGGGGAAGCATCCAGTGAGCACCTGCTGGACCGATACCAGAGAGGTAAACCAGATGTAGCCCCAGTCCTGGAGGAGTTCACAGCTTAGGCCCTACAGGGTGCTAAACGCTGCAGGGGTAGAGCTTAGGGATCAGGGGGCACAGAAAAGGCCGAGTAGACGTTAGCCAGGTAGAAGTGGCTGCAGACAAGAGCTGTAGGCAGGGGGAACAGCTGTGCAAAGGTCTAGAAAAGTGAGGGTATAGCACTTTAGAGCATGAAAAGGACTTCACTATGGCCATAGTGGAGAGGGTGTGCAGAAAGGGGCAGGACATGAGGGTTGGTGGCAGCTGGTCATGAAGGTGTTAACAAGGGGCCTCCACTGGGCTCTGCAGAGCCACTGAAGATGTTTGCACAAGAGAAGGGTAGGGCATGGTAGACATCAAAACCCCTGGGACCAGCCGAGCGCGGTGGCTCGTGCCTGTAATTCCAGCACTTTGGGAGGCTGAAGCGGGCAGATCATGAGGTCAGGAGATTGAGACCATCATGGCCAACATGGTGAAAGCCAAGTCTACTAAAATACAAAAAATTAGCCAGGTGTGGTGGCGCGTGCCTGTAGTACAAGCTACTCAGGAGACTGAGACAGGAGAATCACTTGAACCCAGGAGATGGAAGTTGCAGTGAGCCAAGATTGCGCCACTGCACTCCAGCCTGATGACGGAGCAAGACTCCGTCTCAAAAAACAAAACAACAAAAAAACCTCCTGGGACCCCAGAGGTGATGGAGCCTAACCTGTGGCCATTTTACAGAAATGGGCAGGGTCAAGGCCCGCAAGGGTCAGCCCATGCAGGACACTGGCAAGTGACCGTCCAAGAGGACAGAAATGAGAATAAAAATGTAACTGTAGGTATTCACTGTGCACCCAGTACCATGATGATTGCTGCGTATGTGCAGTCTCTTCATCTTCACACAACCAATGAGGTGGTTACTATCAGTGTACCCATTTTACAGATAGAGGACACTGAGACTCAGAAAGCCTGTAACTTGCCACATGACAGAGCCAGGTGGTATCAGAGCTGGGATTGGGCGCGGGAGGCTGAGTCCAGAGAGTCCTGTGCGCCTGTGTAGGATAAGTGTTTCAGACACAATCAGGGCAGGCTGTCCTGGCAGGCAAGCATAAGGAAGATAAGGGGACCTGGATACACAAGGGAGAGTAGCGTGGGCCTGGGTCCCTTGGGAATGCACAGAGAGGCAGAGGACTCAAGCCTCCTCCTCCTGGGAGCAGCAGCAGAGCTTTGCTCTGCTGATGGAGATGCAGTGAGCAGGGGATAGATCCAGACAGAGTCCAGCCCCTAGCTTCACCAGGGCTCTTGTGTGCAGATCTCCAGTGCTCTAAGCAGGTGCCCCAAGGAGCCCGGAACTCTGGGTCCCCTTCCTGCAGCATCACAGGTTCTTTTCCACTCCGCTTGCGGAGATGAGTCCGTGGCGAGAGGAATGACGCAAGCAGGCTCAGGACAGAAGCACCATGCGTTCACAGGGCCCCGATTCTCTAGAAACATTGGCAAAAATCCACTGGAACATACTCACCCCATGCCAGTGTGCAACACGGGAGCTGAACGATCATTTCCACACTTCCTTAGCTTTCCTGGTTGGTGTGTAGAAAGATCAATATCTTGTCTTTGTGAGTTATCACCTTACTCATTAGTCAACACAACTTCATTGAGCACCCATATTTGGCGTGTACCATGCTGTGGTTAAAAACAAAGTTCTGTTCTCATCAAGCTGACATTCTAGTGGGAGATACAGACAATAAAGAAGTAAATAAGTAAAACATGTGTCAGGTGGCTGGGCGCAGTGGCTCACACCTGTAATCCCAGCACTTTGGGAGGTAGATGCAGGTGGATCATGAGGTTGGGAGTTCAAGACCAGCCTGGCCAATATGGTGAAACCCTGTCTCTACTAAAAATACAAAAATTAGCTGGGCATGGTGGTGCGCACCCGTAGTCCCAGCTACTTGGGAGGCTGAGTCAGGTGAATCGCTTGAACTTGGGAGGCAGAGGTTACAATGAGCAGAGATCACACCATTGCACTCCAGCCTGGGCAACAAGCAAGACTCTTGTGTCAAAAAAAAAAAAAAAAAGAAAAAAACGTGTCAGGTAATCACAAACACTATGGAGAAAAATAAATCTGGGAACAGGGAGATCAGAGGACAAGGAGGGCAGGAGTGCAGGTGATTTTAGCAAGGGAGGTCCAGGAAGACCTCTCTGAAGGGTGATGTTTGAGCAGTGGCTTGAACAAATGGAAGGAGTCAGCCTCGTGGTCTAGTGGAAGAGCATCCAGGCAGCAAGTTCAGCAAGTGCAAGTGCATGGGGGCAGGAATGCGCTCACCCTAACTAAAAGGTAATCTCTGTTTTGGGGTTATTCCCCCCATGTCACCCCAACTGGTTTTTTGTTTGTTTGTCTGATTCTGTCACCCAGGCTGGAGTGCAGTGGCATGATCTTGACTCAATGCAATCTCCACCTCCCAGATTCAAGTGATTCTCCTGCCTCAGCCTCCGGAGTAGCTAGGATTACAGTAGCTAGGATTACACCACTACGCTTGACTAATTTTTGTATTTTTAGTAGAGACAGGGTTTCACCATGTTGGTGAGGCTGGTCTTAAACTCCTGACCTCAAGTGATCCTCCCACCTCACCCTCCTGAAGTATTGGGATTACAGGTGTGAGCCACTGCACCCAGCCCAACTGGTTTTTAAAGTCATGTACTTCAACTTTTTTTTTTTTTTTATCATGGATTAAATATATATGTGTCTTATTCATTTTTCTTCGTGGCACAATCAACACAACATGCAAAGGATTTAAAGTCAGACAAAACGAAGTGAGTATTAGTTCTGCCACTGATTAGCTGTCTGGCTTCTAATAAGTCATTTCCTTTTCTGAACCCAGTCTTACCATCAGTAAAATGGGACACATCTTTCAGGCTAGGGTGAGGTTTTGCTGTGATGCCCATAGACCGCTAACACATTTCCCATCATCCCATGTTCTTTTCCCTTCCTCACCCCTTTCTGGCCACACTGATTTTTGGTTGGGTTTCTAGAGCAGGCCAGGTTTTTTCCTGCCTCAGCGCCTTTGCACTGCCTATGTCCCTACTCGGAAAGCTTATTCCATGGGCATCTCTGAATCATTTCGATCATTTTCCCAGAGTCCCTATTGAACCATACTTTCTAAAATGGGTGCCCCCTTCCAAAATACTCTATTCCAGACCACATGCAGTGGCTCATGCCTGTAATCCCAGCACTTTGGGAGGCTAAACCGGGAAGATCACCTGAAGTCAGGAGTTCAAGACCCACCTGGCCAACATGGCAAAACCCTGTCTCTGCTAAAAATACAAAAAATTAGTCAGGCATGGTGGCACACGTCTATAATCCCAGCTACTCAGGAAGCTGAGGCAGGAAAAATCACTTGAACCCGGGAGGCGGAGGTTGTAGTGAGCCAAGATTGCACCACTGAACTCCAGCCTGGGCAACAAGAGCAAAACTCTGTCTCAAACAACAACAATCAAAAAGAAAACAAAATGCTGTATTCCTGCATCTTTCTTGGTTCCTTTGCAACACTTGTCCGCATTTGTCAATATTTAGTTTCAGGACACTGGCTTCCCAGTGGGCACGGGGGAGCAGAGTCCATGACTGTCAGTGCAGTTGGACACATGGCTGGCCAGCAGGCCCAGGGCCAGCTTGCTGAATAAAGGTTGGCAGTCAAGCCTAGAGGACAGAAGCTGTGAGGGTGATGAGCATCAGGTGCCTTCTGCATCATCCACCCTTCTGGAGGATGCTTTGAGGGTTATTTTTCTGTTTGAGTGATTTGCTATTTTTCAGTTATCTGATGTTTGAGGCCATATAGCATAGCAGTTAGGAGCACAAACAAAAGGCTGGGCATGGTGACTCATATCTGTAACCCCAGCCCTTTGGGAGGCGGAGGTGGGAGGATCACTTGAGGTCGGGAGTTTGAGACCAGCCTAGTCAACATGGTGAAACCCCATCTCTACTAAAAATACAAAAATTAGCTGAGTGTGGTGGTGCATGCCTGTAATCCCAGCTACTCGGGAGGCTGAGACAGGAGGATCCCTTGAACCCAGGAGGCCAAGTTCGAAGTAAGCTGAGTTGTGCCACTGCACTCCACCCTGGGTGACAGAGCCAGACTCTGTCTCAAAAAAAAAAAAAAAAAAAAAAAAAAAAAAAAAAAAAAAAAAAAAAAAAAAAAAAAAAAGCAGACAATGGATTGCACAGGTTCAAATCCCAGCTCTGCTGCTTGCTGGCTGTGGGGCCTCTCAGCTTCCTTAACTATAAAATGAAGCGAGTCATCCTACTTATAAGACTGTGGTAAGGGCTGAATGACTTGCTAAGTGAAGCACTTAGTGCAATGGCTAGCACATGGTAGTGTCTAACAGGTCAGCTGTGACTGTTTGCAGTGTTTGCAAAGCCAGCCTCAGCTCCCGGGAGTCCCCAGCTGTGCTCACCCCATGCTCTGCCCACAGGTGTATCCCATCCACGAGGCCCTGGCCGTGCTGGAGCCCTATGCGCGGCTGCCACCACACAAGCATGTGGCTCGGCCCACTGAGGTCCTGGCTGGTACCCAGCTCCTCTATGCCTTTTTCACTCGGACCCATGGAGACATGCACAGCCTGGTGCGAAACCGCCGCCGCATCCCTGAGCCTGAGGCTGCTGCGCTCTTCCGCCAGATGGCCACCGCCGTGGCACACTGTCACCAGCATGGTCTGGTCCTGCGCGATCTCAAGCTGTGTCGCTTTGTCTTTACTGACTGTGAGAGGTGAGTGTGGTTGCAGAGATCCCAGCCACAGACACACGCAGGGGGTGGGCCATGATGGAGAGAAACTGAGGCCTAGGAAACAAAGTAACTTAGGCAAGAAGTAGAGAGGCTGGAATAACCAGCAGCCCCTGTCTGGTAACCAGAGAAGAGTTGACTCAGGCTGGGTGGATGCCGTGGCTTATGGCTGTACTCCCAGCACTTTGGGAGGCCGAGACGGGTAGATCACCTGAGGTCAGGAGTTCGAGACCATCCTGGCCGACATGGTGAAACCATGTCTCTACTAAAAATACAAAAATTAGCCAGGAGTGATGGCTGACAACTATAATCCCAGCTACTCGGGAGGCTGAGGCAGAAGAATAGCTTGAACCTGGGAGGCAGAGGTTACAGTGAGCCAAGATTGTGCCACTGCACTCCAGCCTGGGCAAGAGAGTGAGATTCCATCTCAAAAAAAAAAAAAAAAAAAAAAAAAAAAAAAAAAAAAAAAAAAAAAAAAAAAGTTGATTAAGTCCTCTTGGGAGCCCCTTGGGATGCTGGGATGGGGCACTGAGATGCGAAAGTCGTAGTAGCTGACAGTGATGACAGCATCGCTGCATTATCTACCGTGGTCTCCTTCCTTACAGACTCAAGGAAGGCATTATTATCCCCATATGATCAAGGAAATTGAGGCCCGGAGAGCTCAAGTAACTTGCCCAAGATCTCACAGCAAAATAAATGGTAGAGCTGGGATTTGAACCAGAGCCTGAGTCCTAATTCAATTTGAGCTAGAGGGACAGGGGTCTTGGCTGGGCTTACGAACTGACTCTGGGTGACCTAGTGTCTCCGAGCCTCAATTTCCCCATTAGTAGGGAAAAGGGCTGGATTGTTAGGGTGTTTTCAGGATTCCAAAACCACAGTCAAAACAAGACAGGGTCTGAGGTTCCCCACACAAAAACTTTTCCTGTGAAACTGAGAATTAGCACTTTTTGGCTAAAAGATCATCTTCCTTCTCTAGGTGGGGACGCTAAAAATTTTTTTTTAATTGATACAGAGTCTCCCCCTGTTGCCCAGGCTGGAATGCAATGGCGCAATCTTGGCTCACTGCAACCTCTGCTGCCCAGGTTCAAGTGATACTCCTGCCTCAGCCACCTGAGTACCTGGGACTGCAGGCATGCACCACCATGCTTGGCTGATTTTTTCTACTTTTAGTAGAAATGGGGTTTTGCCGTGTTGGCCAGGCTGGTCTCAAACTCTTAACCTTAGATGATCCACCTGCCTCGGCCTCCCAAAGTGCTGGGATTACAGGTATGAGCCACTGCACCTGGCCTAGATGCTAAGAAAAAGTTTTAAAAGATAATTCTTCTGGGGAGAAGGGGAGAGGGACTCGCCTCCTGTTCCCTCTCCAGATTCCGGAGGGCCTCCAGGATGTGTGAGGGAGCGCACTAAGCTGCCAGTTACACAGAATTTTTCTGTGGAGGAAGGAATGTGACCCCATTACATTTTTTAAAACTTTTTATCTTGAAATAATTTTAGACTTTTAGAAAAGCTACAAAAATAGTTCAAAGATTTTCTATATATCCTTCCCCCAGTTTCCTCCAATGTTAACACCTGACATAGCCATGGTACAATTACCCAAACTAAGAAATTAACCTTGGGAGAGTACTATTTACTAAGCCCCACAAATTTATTCCAGCTTCCCGGGTTTCCCACTAACACCCCTTGCTGTGCAGGATCCAATGAGGATCCCAATTTATTTATCAGTGGTCTCCTTGGCCTCTTCTAATCTGAGATAGTTCCTCAGTCTTTCCCTGTCTTTGACGACCCATGATTTTTTTTTTTTTTTTTTTGAGACAGGATCTCACTCTGTCACCCAGGCTGGAGTGCAGTGGTGTGATCATAGCTTACTGCAGCCTCAAACTCCTGGGCTCAATTGATCCTCCCACCTCACCCTCCTGAGTAGCTGGTTCTACAGTTGTGTGCCACCACGCCTGGCTAATTGAGATGGGGTCTTGCTATGCTGCCCAGGCTGGCCTCGAACTCCTGAGCTCAAGCAATCTGCCCCCCTCGGCCTCCCAAAGTGCTGGTATTATAGTTGTGAGCCACTGCTCCCACCATAACCTTGAGACTTTTGAAGAGTACTGATAAGTTACTTTGTGTGTCCCTCAATTTGGATTTGATTGATGTTTTCTCAAAGTTAGATTGCAGTTTTGTTTATATATATGTGTGTGTGTGTGTGTGTGTGTGTGTGTGTGTGTGTGTGTGTATATATATATATATATATATATATTTTTTTTTTTTTTTTTTTGTTTGTTTTTTTTTTTTTTTTTTTTTTTTTTTTTTTTTTTTTTTTTTTTTTTTTTTTTTTATTTTTTTTTTTTTTTTTTTTTTTTTTTTTAGAGATAGGGTTTCACCATGTTGGTCAGGCTGGTCTTGAACTCCTGACCTCAGGTGATCCACCCACCTCTGCCTCCTAAAGTGCTGAGATTGCAGGCATGAGCCACCACGCCCAGCCGTGGTTATATATTTTTGGCAAGAACAACACAGAATTGATAGGCCCCTCTCCACATCATATCAGGAGATGCATGAGCTGATAGTCATTACTGTGTTGTAACCTTGATCACTTGGTTAGAGTAGGACCTGCCAGCTTTCTCTCCTCTAAAGTTTTTAATTTAGCCTTTGTAATGGATAAATACCTTGGGGGAGGTAAGCTAAGCATATAAATATCCTGTTTTTCCTCAACTTTCACCCACTAATTTTAGCAGCCATCCATCTTGCCTGTAGCAGTTATTACTGTGGTGCTTGCCTAAGGCTAATTTTCTTTTCTTTTAAGACAGTCTCGCCCTGTTGCCCAGGTTGGAGTGCAGTGGCATGATCTTGACGCAGTGCAACCTCTGCCTCCTGGGTTCTTGCAATTCTCCTGACTCAGCCTCTTGAGTAGCTGGGATTACAGGGACACACCACCACACTTGGCTAATTTTTGTATTTTTAATAGAGATGGGGTTTTGCCATGTTGGCCAGGCTGGTCTTGAACTCCTGACCTCAAGTGCTCTGCCTGTACTGGCCCAAAGTGCTGAGATTATAGATGTGGGCCTCCACGCCTAGCCCCAAAGGCTGATTTTCTATTAATATTTCCTTCTACATTTTATAGTAAAAGAAGCATGCCTTTTTTAAAGAAGTCAAATTTATGATTTTTAAGCTAATGCATAACTTCAAACATATTTTAAGTTCAGAGTAGATACAACTACCCCAGACCTTCTGGAAGAGAGAACGTGCTTCTTGCTCTTTTCAAGAAATCATCTGATGGCTCACACCTGTAATCCCAGTGCTTTGGGAGGCCAAAGCAGGAGGATTGCTTGAACACCATAGTTCGAGGCTAGCCTAGGCAACATAGTGAAACCCCATCTGCACAAAAATTTAGAAAAATTAGCCAGGGGTGCTGGTGCACACCTGTGATCCTAGCTACTTGGGAGGCTGAGCCCAGACGTTTGAGGTTGCAGTGAGCTAGGATTGCACCACTGTACTCCAGCCTGGGTGACAGAGTGAGACCCTGTCTCTAAAGAAGAAAAGAAAAAATCACAGGAGAATCATCAGTAGAAGAGGGACCATGAGTTAGATAGACCTGTGTTTAAGTCCTGGGTTCTGCTTCTTACCGGCTTTTTGGCCCTGAGCAATGACTTCAACTGCCTGAGCTTTTGTTTCTTCATCTGTAAAATAGGCCAATAATGCTGACACTCCTCGTCCCTCAATACTGTGATTCATAGGATTGGTCAGTATTTGTGAAATGCCAATGGACACCCAGGAAGTGGTGCTATAAAGAAGAAATTAATAGCAGTGGCAACAGAATGATTATTAAAGTCATCTTAGAGTGCTCTGTGGGAGTTGTTTAAAACAGAAATTGCAAATGGCAGGATACACTTTTTTTTTTGAGACAGGTTCTCACTCTGTCCCCCAGGCTAGAGTGCAGTGGAGCTAACACAGTTCACTGCAACCTCCACCTCCTGGGCTCAAGTGATATCCTCCTGCCTCAGCCTCCCAAGTAGCTGGGACTACAGGTGCGAGTCACCACACCTGGCTAATTTTTGTATTTTTTGTAGAGTTAGGGTTTCACCATATTGCCCAGGCTGGTCTTGAACTCCTGAACTCAAGAGATCCACCTGCCTCGGCCTCCCAAAGTGCTAGGATCACAGGTGTGAGCTACCACGCCCAGCCTTACACACACTTTTCTTTTTGCCCTGCTCACCTGTTTGTGTTTTTTATTGAAACTGGTTGCCAATATTTTTTAAATGGGGACTTTTTCATTAAAATAGGATTCCTGATTTCCCTTGGGGAAAAGAATGGGAACATGGGGCCATCTTGAAAACTATGAGAGTGGGTCACAGCACTGGCTCTAGGTATCTGCGAATCAGGGTTCCCATCCCAGGCTGATGCTCTAGAGCTGTAAAATGGTGTCTTCCTTTCAGGTTGTCGCCTGGATAGCATGAGATAAGCCAGGTAATAAGCTGGGCCAAGGGCGAAGAACACAGCGGACACTTGATAAACCCTAGAATGTGTTGTTAGTGGTGCCCTTTTTAGGCGCAGGGCTTGTGCTGAAATGTCTGGCACACTTCCTGTTTCTTTCATTTTATACCTGCCTGTACCCTAAGTTTGCAGGTGGTTTAAGAGAGGCTTAACTCTCTTAGCCCCATCAGTCCCTTTCCCAAGGGACTGTTGAGAAATTTATTCCGTTCAGAATGTTAGTTTAAATTTAATTGCTCTGTGGCCTTAAATGACTTAACGTCGGCCGGGCGTGGTGGCTCATGCCTGTAATCCAAGCACTTTGGAGGCCAAGGCGGGCGGATCACCTGAGGTCAGGAGTTCAAGACCAGCCTGATCAACATGGTGAAACCCCGTCTTTAAAAAAAAAAAAAAAAAAAAAAAAAAAAAAAAAAAAAATGACTTAACCTCTCTGAGCCTGGGTTTAGTTTTCTGTAAAATAGGATCAGACATCAAAGGACTGGCTTGTGTCTGTCAAAGACCAGCAGGCACTTGAAAGTGGGTGCCACTAAGGTGATAGTATGGGGTGGTGGCATGGGGGCTCTGGGTAGGGCCCTTATGTTTCTCCCCATGTCCCAGGAAGAAGCTGGTGCTGGAGAACCTGGAGGACACCTGTGTGCTGACCGGGCCGGATGATTCCCTGTGGGATAAGAACGCATGCCCAGCCTATGTGGGACCTGAAATACTCAGCTCACGGGCCTCATACTCAGGCAAAGCAGCGGATGTCTGGAGCCTGGGCGTGGCACTCTTCACCATGCTGGCCGGCCACTACCCTTTCCAGGACTCAGAGCCTGTCCTGCTCTTTGGCAAGATCCGTCGCGGGGCCTACGCCTTGCCTGCAGGCCTCTCAGCCCCTGCCCGCTGTCTGGTTCGCTGCCTCCTTCGTCGGGAGCCAGCTGAGCGGCTTACAGCCACAAGCATCCTCCTGCACCCCTGGCTGCGGGAGGACCCGATCCCCTCAGCCCCAACCCGATCCCATCTCTGGGAGGCTGATCAGGTGGTCCCTGATGGACCAGAGCTGGATGAAGCCAAGGAAGAAGAGGAAAACAGAGAACTGGTTCTGTATGGCTAGGGCCACCCAACTACATGCTCAGCTCCCAACAGTGGATTGAGTTTGGGGTGGCTCCAAGCTTTCTCCTGTCTCTGAACTGAGCCAAACCTTCAGTGCCTTCCAGAAGGGAGAAAGGCAGAAGCCTGCGTGGAGTGTCCTGTGTATACACCTGCTTTGTTCCACACACATGCAATTCCTGCTTGGATGCTTATCAAGTGCCAAGCCCTGTTCTAGGTGCTGGGAATACAGCAGTGAGCACAGGAGACAATACTCCCTGCTCACAGAGATGACAAACTGGCATTCTTGAGCTGACAACACTTTTCTATGGCCATCGGTCACTGTCTACACTGGGTACACTTTGTGCCAGTGTCAGCCTCCACTGGTGCTGGTGTTCAGGCACCTCTGTCCAAGGACAATCCGTTTCACAAACAAACCAGCCGCCTTTATATCTTGTACCTTTTCAGAGAAAGGGAGGTATCCCTGTGCCAAAGGCTCCAGGCTGCTCCCCTGAAATTCAGGACCCAAGCCCAGCTCACTCTGGGACCTGTGTTCCCAGCATCTCTGTCCTCTTGATCAAGAGATTCTCTTTCCAGGCCCAAGCCCGGGATTTGGGCCAGAGATAAGAATCCAGACTATGAGGCTAGTTCTTGTCTAACTCAAGAATGTTCTGGAATGAGGGTCCAGGCCTGTCAACCATAGGGCTTCTGACCTGAGCACCAAGGTTGAGGGACAGGATTTGGCAGGGTCTGTCCTGTGGCCACCTGGAAAGTCCCAGGTGGGACTGTTCTGGGAACAGTTGGGGCCCACAATCCCAGGTCGATACTCTAGGTTTTGGATACCATGAGTATGTATTTTCACCTGTGCCTAATAAAGGAGAATTATGAAATACTTCTATTTATCTAGGCGATTTCTTCCATCCTTTCCAACCATCTTTTATCAGTTTTCATTGCCTTCAAAACTGGCCCTCATGGTGAAAAGCCGTGGACTTGTGTCTCAACCTCAGCCGAGTGGTTTGTGAGAACAGATTACCTGGAGCCCAGCAGGTTTTCCTGCACTCCCTCTGTTTCTTCTGGCAGCAGCAGTGTCTCTATTAGGGTACTTTCTGAGTCAAAATGGCTTCAACAAGATGGAAATATGTTTCACACAAAGCGAGAAGTCAGTGGATAGGGTGGTCTTCAGTGCTGGTCCCTTCAACTCCAGGCTGCGTGCAGGACCCCGGCTTTCCAGGCTCTTTCTGTCTCTTGACTGTATTGTCCCTCGAGACTGCTGGCACAATGGCTACAGCAGGTGTCGCATTAGAGAGGTCCGTGACCACAGGAAGAAGGCAGGGGCATTGTACTACCTGGGAACTCAGAACTCTGGAGTCAGGCTGCCCAGAATTAAATCCTGGCTCCAGCACTCAATAGCTGTTTGACCCTTGGCAAGTTTCTTAATCACTCTGTGCCTCAGATTTTTCATCTGTACCATGGGGGACAATAATAGTACCTAATTTATGAGAACCTGAGTGAGTACTCTGTGTAACGCATTTAGAACAAGCAGCCCCTGACATAATGAGCCGGTAATAAAAGTTGCTCCCGCATCTCTTTGTTGGGATGGAGGAAACTTTCCCAGAAGCGCTTCTGACCGACCTTCCCACACATCTTATTGGTCAGAACTGCATCACGTGCTCATGTCTGACCAATCACCAGCTTACATTCGTGGAGCACGTGCGTACATTAACCGCGGCAATCCTCGAACTGTAGGTGGAGCTCGTGCGTCATATAGCAGGGGGAGTGACTCCTGAGCAAAACCAGGTTCAGAGAGGGAGGGGATCGTGGGGAAAATAATGTGCAGAAGTGAGGAGGCTCAGCCAACAACCTGCTAACTGCAGATACTCGAGAGAGGTAACCCTAGATCATCTGACGCCAGGCGACCGACCCTCCAGCTGACTGCCGATGCAGAAATCAGCCAGGCTGGCCCACACTAGAATTGCCCAGTGACCCTCAGGGTCATGAGCTAATTGAGCTAAATAAAACCACTGTGGATTTTTTATTTTGTTGTTTGTTTGTTTTGAGACGGAGTCTTGCTGTGTCACCCAGGCTGGAGAACAGTGGCGCAATCTACGCTCACTGCAACCTCCGCCTGCCAAGTTAAAATGATTCTTCTGCCTTAGCCTCCTGAGTAGCTGGGATTACAGGCAGGCGCCACTATGCCCGGCTAATTTTTATGTTTTTAGTGTAGGCGGGGTTTCGCCATGTTGGCCAGGCTGGTCTCAAACTCCTGACCTCAGGTGATCTGTCTACCTCGGCCTCCCAAAGTGCTGGGATTACAGGCGTGAGCCACTGTGCCTGGCCAATCATTGTGGTTTTAAGCCACTAATTTGAGGCTATTTTGTTTTACACTGAAAGCTAACTGATGCAGACATGGACAAGTCAGTCTCATCTCTGTGCACCCAGCATTGCCCAGAACAGAGCCTAGTTGTATCTAGGGTCTCATGGGGCAGCCCCTGACCTCTACCTTGCCCCTCCCAGCTTCCAACAGACCCTGTCCCAGCTCCCTCCAAGTTGAAAGTTGGCCTGATACCTACCAGTGGAGCAAGAGGAACGGAAGGGCTGCCAAGGGCAGGTACCGTGCCAACACTTTACTCCATTACACAAAGAGACTTATTTATGCCTCACAACAATTCAGTGAGGTAGATGCTTCTGTCATTTTACAGATAAGACAAATGAGCTTTGGAGAGAGTGGAAGACTCATCCAAGACCTCACAACAGAGAAAAAGACTCATCTGGTTTTGCCTTGAAGCAGAACTTTTGACAAGGCTGCACAGATGCAGCCACATGAAAATTGCCCATTAAAAAATGTAATATCAGCGGGCGTGGTGGCTCATGCCTGTCATCCCAGCATTTTGGGAGGCCGAGGCTGGCAGATCACTTGAGGTCAGGAGTTCAAGACCAGTCTGGTCAACACGGTGAAACCCCATCTCTACTAAAAATACCAAAAATAGCCGGGCGTGGTGGTGTGCGCCTGTAATCCCAGCTACTTGGGAAGCTGAGGCAGGAAAATCACTTGAACCCAGGAGGGGAGATTGCAGTGAGCCAAGATTGCACCACTGCACTCCAGCCTGAGCAACAAAGCAAGATTCTTTCTCAAAATAATAATAAAATGTAATATCCACTCATCAAATAGTGGATGTCACCACACCCTGACCCTAATTAGTGAGGACTTTTGTGTTCTATTTGTCTTCATTTAATCATCATTGTATATGAATTTTACACTATCAAATTAGTACAGGTATATTACCGAAAGGGAAGGACCGTTAGAAATTTACCTGAGGATTATCTCTGCCACTGGGGGCTGAACACAAAAGATCCTATTGTGACCTGCCAGATTATTCATTCATTTAGCAATTCAGCAATCACCGCTGAATGTCTACTACAGCCCAGGCACCATGTAAGACATATGTGCCCCTGCCCTCAAGGGTTCACAGCCTAATAGAAGAGACAGATGTTAAACAGATAACCATGCAAATGACATAATTATATTTGTGGAAGTTCGTTGTGGCAAAGACAGGCATCCCAATATTTCAGGTGCTCCCCTACATTTTCTAGCTTCCCTTACAGTCACATGACTAGTTCTGACCAATGTGCTGTGTGTAGGAGTAACAGGCTGAAGCAATGGAGAGCTGGTGAGTCTCATCCCTCTCTTCCTCTGCCACAGTCACTTTGGAGCCACGAGTTCCCTTAGCTACAAGCTAGAGGAGAACCACCAGATCCACCCTGGATTTCATTGAGCAAGAAATTAAGCTTCTTGTGCTGTCTTTCAGATTTGGACTTTGTCTGGTAGATAGTGTTAATTCCCATGACTAAGGAAAACTTGCCACCAGAGAAGGGAGGAAAAATATTCTCCACCATTAATGAGGTCATGTCAGTCTGCTGCATTACAAACCCCAAACAGTGGTTTATGATTCTCCGGGTTGGCAATTTGGGTTGGATTCAGCTGGGTCACTCCTGCAGCTGAAGGCAGCAAGCAGCTCAAATGTCTACTTTTGCAGGAAGGCTTTTCTCTGCTCCACGTGGCCTCAGCCTCCAATAAGCATAGTCCACTCCTTCCTATGGTGGTCTCAGGGTTTCAGAAAGCAACAAGAGAGGACAAACTCCAATGTTCAAACTGCACTAGTGTCAAAGCATTTCAAATAGCATGTCAAATTCCATGTCAAATTCAGGATGCAGGCAAATAGATTATTTCTCTTTATGGGAGATGGAAATAATGTGCGGTCTTGTTTTTCAATATACAGTGGTCCACTTATCCGATGGGATACATTCCAAGACCCCCAGTAGATGCCTGAAACCACAGATAGTACGGAATCCTGTATATATCATGTTTTTTTCCTATCTATACATACCTACAATAAAGCCTAATTTGTAAATTAGGCACAGTAAGAATAAATAACAATAACAATAGAACAGTTATAACAGTATATTGTAATAAAAGTTATGTGAATGCGGTCTCTCCTATTGTACTGTACTCACCCTTCTTGTGATGATGGGAGATAATGAAATAGCTGCATAATGAGATGAAGGCAAATGAATGACATGGGCATTGTGATCTAGTGTTAGGCTACTACTGATCTGCATTTTAAACAAGCACCCCAGGGATGGATGATACTTCAGGAGAATCATCTCCTTCAGGTGATCCAACATCATGAAGCCGTGACAGTGTCCACGGTTGGATGTCAGGAGCAAATGATGTTGATGATTAATGGTGGTTAACGTCTACAACCTGGATACAGTGGACAAAGGGATGATTCACCTCCTAGGTGAAATAGTGCAGGATGGCGTGAGACTTCATCATGTGGTTGGCTGCAGGCAACTGAAACTGCAGAAGGTAAAACCACAGGTCATGGGGGCAGGGGTGGGGAATTACTGTACAGCATGAGCTACCAAATAAGATGACCACTGTGCACCTAAAACTGTCCCTACAGGTTGTGTGCCCCTGGGAAAATTGCTTGGTGTCTCTGGATCCCCTCTCTTCCCCTTCTCTCTGCATGGCTAAGCCCTGCCCATCACTTGAGGCTGAACCTAGAGCTCTGCCTGACCGCTAAGCCCTCAGAACAGGGTTTCTTTTTTTTTTTTTTTTT